TCTGGGGTACTCTTGTGCCCGCCGTGCCGTCATAGGGCCACCTAGGGCCTACGTGGGCAACCTTCGAATCAACCAGGCCCAGTGGGGCTGCACCCTTGCACCTCGGTTTTGCGACTTGTTGTGCAACTGGCTGCATCAATGCTCGGTCACGCGCAGAAGGGGGTAGGGGGAGGGGAGAAGGCTTGTTAGAAACACCCCTGCTTTTTAGAATGCGCGGGCCTTTACTGTAGATGTAAGGCTCGCACCTTCTAAGAACCAGCCTTCTTCTAAGGAGCCTTCCCCCCTCCCCCCACGCCCTTGTGCGCGCCGCCAACATGTCCAGGGGGGGGTCGAGGAACATGGAACAAAAACATATATGGAACCCGTAGCCCCCCCCCCCTCCCAACATGAAACATGCGGGTCTTCGGGCTGGGGTGGCGGTCATCTGGTGGGCAGTCAGGCAGGAGGACCACCTTGGGCTCGGGAGGGCCTCTGGATCTCGGGCCGTTCCTGCGACCTGCAGCGGCGGCCCCCGTCCTGGAGGAGGCGCGCCCCTGGCCAGAAGAGCCCCACTTCGTTTCTTAGGTTCGGCGCTCCTCGTGGCAGCGCGAGGACTGCGGCCCCCGCGGGCTAGCCCTGAAGCGTCTCTTGCCTGAGCCTGAACCTCGGGGGAGAAAAAGGTACCCATACCTCTACCCTTCGCTCGTTTTCCCATTTCTGGGCCTCCTGGGTAGCCCTCGTCGCCACCGCTGGATTCGCCTCGACATTCCGGCCAGAACGCACCCCGGGCGAGGTCCGGGGAGTAGCCATATCGGTACCTTGTGGTGTCGCCAAACCCTGAAGCGTCTTGTCTGACCCAGCCCTCGTGGAAGTTGTTGTCGCAGTCTCCTCGCCCGCTCGCGCAGGTTCGCCTTGCCCGCGCGCGCGCGTCGCGCACGCCACGAAGCGAGAGCGAGGTCGATGTGATTTCCAGGTTGGGGCCACTTCCGCTCTCACCCCTGGTGTCCGAGGTATGTGGATGGGCTCCAGGTTTATTACCCCTTCCTTCTCACGCCATCGAGTTCCCTATAAGACTACCCTTCTGGTGATGCTGATACGGAGGTTGGGGTGGGTGCATCTTTCGGTTTGCGATTGGCTTTGTGTCGGATTGGGGGATTGTGCAATCTAACTCTTCTACCCCTTCGGGCTCTTTGAACTGCTCGGCCTTTTGGCTCTTCGAACTGGTATTTGGTTGTAGCTCTTCTACCTGGTCTAATTCTTTGGCCTCGTTCGACCACTGTGCGCCTTTCTTTACCATTGATGTTGGAGCTCTGCGAGCGTCGGATGATGTTCCCGCGCTGAGGCGTGTTCTAGCCCAGGGTGTTTTTAGCGCCCTTTGAGAAGGCAAGCTTGTTTCAGTATCTGAGCATTGCAATGTTTTACCCTCTTCTAGCTCCTACACGCATCCATCTTCTAACTCGTCTAACAATTCAAACTACTCCAAGGAATCCTCCTGATGCATCTGCCAAATATAGGTCTTCTACTCTCTGAAGGCTCTGCTGCTTGTGCTAGAGCTGCTAGAGGGGCGCCCAACATCCCGTTTGACCGCAGCGCTCTGATGTAGGCCAAGCGGTCTTCCGCCCAGCCCAAATCGGCTTCTGGTTCCACATCCTACACTGTACCACCCAAGGCGGTGTAGGAGAGTGTGCAAACCGTTCGGGGGTTACTTCCAGTAAGAAGCGTTGCGGGTTCTTCCCCAGGGTGACCCGGAGGTCTGACCAGCAGCCGAGCCGAAAGTGAGCCAAATGCGTTGGGCCTGTGCCAGTGGACCCGAAAGTGAGCGAATCGCCCATGACATTCGGAACAACAAACTTTGTTGGGGGGAATCCACACCCTCCACCAGGCTGGCCAGCACGTGCGAGACGAGTCTGAGGCGCTGGCGCGCGAACGCGCTCTCGGACCACTTTTTCTCAGGGGCGCGCAAACATGGATTAACGATCCATGGATTTGGCGCGCGGTCGCCAAGTCCATGGATCGGGGGAGGTGCCCTCCCCAAAATGCGGCTGGTGCCGCCTCGCTCGGCGGCGGAAATCGGCGATTTCCCATGGAAGCGGGACCCGTCGCTAATCCACGCCCCCTTGATCCGTGTTTGCGATCGCCTGATTCACGAGACCCGCAGACGAGCGAATTGCTCAGAGTTTCCCCGAACATTTTCTGTTTTTTTTTTGCATCCGTCAGGCGGTCTGTCCGCGGCCCTGAAGCGGAACGCGCTCGGAGCAAGCCGCGCAGACTTCTTCGGCCTTCCGCCGGCGGGCGCCTTCAGCAACATCTTCTGATCCGTCGCTGGAGGCCCGACCGCAAGCACGTTGCATGGGCATTCGTGCACGGGGAGTGCTCTCGGGGGCCCTGCAGGTGACGCTTGGCGGCGCGCCGAGGGGAAGGAGGTGAGAGGGGTTAGGCCTTCTCACAAGGCGGCGGAAGTTCTCAGAAGCCGCCCAGCCTTCTGAGAAGCCCTCTGTGGCTTCGGAGAAGGCTCGGCAAACTTCTCCGAAGGCCGGGGGCCTTCTGACCCTTCTGAGGGGGCCCGCACCCTCCGCCTCCCCCTTGGGCGCGCCGCCGACTGTTGAGGTGACGCGCTTGCGTTCGCACTGCCACATCTCTTGTCCTTGCAGCGTGCTTCCAGTCGTGCTGATGCGCTGCATCCGCAGGGTGCCGTGCCTCGCACAGCGGAACAAACAGTGTATGCTTGCCATCACCGAGGCGAAAACCGCACGGGAAAGTATGGAGGCAACACCTGCAGTTCACAATCATTTGCTGCATGTGCAGAGAGGGCTCCCGAACGAAACTTTCTGAACAAGCTGGGTCGCCGGACTTAGGCCGGCTTAGGACCCAGAGTGCATGGAGAGACACGTGGAGGACGGAGCAGAGCGCCGAGCAATTATAACCAGCAAAAACATGGTTCCCCACTCTTTCAGAGTTCAGTGGTAGCCATTGAGAGGCATTGAGGCACCATACAACTGATGCTTTCACTCACCAAAGAAACTGGTCTGCCCAACCATCAGGAGGGAGACATCGGAGAAGCATCCTCCGATTATTGAATACGAGGTCCCCAGAAGCTCCTATCCCTTCCCGTGGCCTCAGACGACGACGACGACGACGACGACGACGACGACGACGACGACGACGACGACGACGACGACGACGACGACGACGACGACGACGACGACGACGACCGACGACGACGAGGTGCGTCCATGGGCGGCCCTCCCAGACGCTGGGTCCACGGATCATGTCCTAGGGGTCTGTTTTTGAGCTCGGGGAGCGCCCGATCGATCCAGAGACGGCACACGAGAGCCTCAAGACGGCCCATGACGGCCCGACGACGCCCAGCCCTGCGCGTTCTCGCCCTGTCTGGCTTCCGAGGGCCTGGGGCACCCCGAGAGGCCACCCAGATTGGCCCGGCACGGCCCTCCGGGGGCCCCAAGGCAGTGCCACAAGGCGGCCCAGGAGTGCCTTCAGACGGCCCAGGATGCTGCCAGGATGGCCCAAGCTGCGCCCCCGGGCGGCCCTTCTGGGCGCCGAGTCCACGCCACAGTGCCGAACGATATCCTGGGGGCCCGTGTTGGGATTCTCGAGGGGCCCCCCGCGGACGGCCCATGACAGCCCCAAGACGGCCCAAGAGGCCCCCAAGGCGTCCCGAAAGGGCCCCAGGATGACCCCCAAGATCACCTCCAGAGGCAGGAATCATTCATGTCCCGTAGCCCGTCGTTTTCGTGGTCCTCCTTCCCCTTCAGCAGCAGGAGTAACTATACGCCACGACGGGCCCTTCCTTCAGCCTCGCGATAACGGCCCAGATATCACTCAAGCGTGGGCGGGAGCCACCTCGAAGACATGCCGCGGAATCGGCCCCATGCCGCAATGCCTAATATCAGAACCAGCGTCTTCGGAGCAAGCTAGAGCCTAAGCGCCACCATAGTGCGCGCGCGCGTGGTTCTAGTCTAAGCACGTGGTGTGTCAGGAGGCTTCTGGCAGGGTGGGGCCTCGCACAGAAGTCTCCTTCCGGGAGGCTGCAGCTGTTTCCTTGTTCCCTCCGGCCGCCTCTCGACTCCTCCCGGCCCCCAGTGCCCTTCCTGGCCCCCCTCGGCTTTCCCCTCTCCCCCGGTCCACTGCCCAGCCCCCCCGCAAAGCTTGTGATGCCCCTGCTGCCCCAGGAGGCGGAGGGCGAGCCGGCCAACTCTGCCGCGGCTGCGGGGGCAGAGCAGCTAAGGCAGCAGGTCTCGGAGCTGCAGGCCAAGCTGTCCGAGGAGGAGCGGCAGCGGGAGTCGGAGCTTTCCGCAGCCGCCACGGAAACGAAGCAGCTGAGGCAGCAGGCCTTTGAATTGCAGGCCAGGTTGTCCGAGGAGGAGCGGCGAGGGGAAACGGTCGGTTCTGCCGCGGCTGCGGAGGCGGAACGACTCAGACAGCAGGTCTCGGAGCTGCAAGCCAAGCTGTCCGAGGAGGAGCGGCAGCGGGAAACGGTCGGTTCTGCCGCGGTTGCGGAGGCGGAGCAACTCAGGCAGCATGTGTCGGAACTGCAGGCCAGGTTGTCCGAGGAGGAGCGGCAGCGGGAGTCGATTGGTTCCGCAGCCGCTGCAGAGGAAAATGCGTTGAGGCAGCAGGTCTCGGAGCTGCAAGCCAAGCTGTCCGAGGAGGAGCGGCAGCGGGAAACGGTCGGTTCTACCGCGGTTGCGGAGGCGGAACAACTCAGGCAGCAGGTGTCGGAACTGCAGGCCAGGTTGTCCGAGGAGGAGCGGCAGTGGGAGTCGATTGGTTCCGCAGCCGCTGCGGAGGGAACTGCGTTGAGGCAGCAGGTCTCGGAGCTGCAAGCCAAGCTGTCTGAGGAGGAGCGGCAGCGGGAAACCGTCGGCTCTGCCGCGGTTGTGGAGGCGGAACGACTCATGCAGCAGGTGTCAGAACTGCAGGCCAGGTTGTCCGAGGAGGAGCGGCAGCGGGAGTCGGCCAGCTCCGCAGCCGCCACGGAGGAGGAGCGGTTGAGGCAGCAGGTCTCGGAGCTGGAGAGCAAATTATCAGAGGAGGAGCGGCAGCGAGAAGCGGCCGACTCCGCCGCGGCCATTGAAACGGAACGGCTGAGGCAGCAGGTTTCTCAGCTGCACGCCACCTTGACCGATCAACAGCAGCACGAGTCGGGTGGCTCTGCCGTGACCGCTGAGGCAGAGCAGTTGAGGCAGCAGGTCTTGGAGCTAGAGGCCAAGTTGTCCGAGGAGAGGCGGCAGCGCGAGCATGCCTACTCCGCCACCGTTGATGCAGGTCTGAGGCAGCAGGTGTCGGAACTTCAGACCAGGCTGTCCGAGGAGGAGCGGCAGCGAAAAGCGGCCGCCTCTGCCGCGGCCGCGGAGGCGGAGCAGCTGAGGCAGCAGGTGTCGGAACTGAAAGTCAAGCTGTCCGAGGAGGAGGGGCAACGGAAAACGGCCGCCTCTGCCGCGGCCGCGGAGGCGGAGCAGCTGAGGCAGCAGGTGTCGGAACTGAAAGACAAATCGTTTGTGGAACAGGGACAGCGGGAGTCGTCCGGCCCCGGAGCCGCCGCGGAGGCAGAGCTAAGGCAGCAGGTGTCGGAATTGCGGGCCAGGCTGTTCGAGGAGGAGCGACAGCGGGAAGCGGCTGGTTCTGCCGCGGCCGCGGAGGCGGAGAATCTGCGGCAGCAGTTGTCGGAACTCAAGGCCAAGCCGTCCGAGGAGGAGCGGCAGCAGAAGTCGACCAGCTCCGCAGCCGCTATGGAGGTGGAGCGGTTGAGGCAGCGGGTCTCGGAGCTAGAGGCGAAGCTGTCCGAGGAGGAGCGGCAGCGCGAGTTGGCCAGCTTCGCAGTGGCCGCAGAGGCGGAGCAGCTAAGGCCGCAAGGCCCACAGCAGCAGCACGAGTCGGATGGCTCTGCCGTTGCCGCTGAGGCGGAACGATTGAGGCGGAAAGTCTTGGAGCTAGAGGCGAAGCTGTCCGAGGAGGTGCGACAACGAACAGCGGGCGCTTCCGCCGCGGACGTGGAGGCGGAGCAGCTTAGGCAGCAGGTCTCGGAACTCAGCAGGGAGTTGTTTGCGCAACGGGGGCAGCGGGAGCCGTCCGGCTCCGCAGCCGCCAGAGAGGCAGATGAGCTGAGGCAGCAGGTCTCGGAATTGCAAGCCAAGCTCTCTGAGGAGGAGCGGCAACGGGAAACGGCTCTGTCCGTAGCCGCGGAGGCGGAGCAGCTTAGGCAGCAGGGGTCGGAGCCAAAAGGCACATCGTTTGCGCAACAGGGGCAGCGGGCGCCGTCCGGCTCCGCCGCCGCCGCAGAGGCAGATGAGCTGAGGCAGCAGGTGTCGGAACTGAAAGTCAAGCTGTCCGAGGAGGAGGGGCAACGGAAAACGGCAGTCTCTGCCGCGGCCGCGGAGGCGGAGCAGCTGCGGCAGCAGGTGTCGGACCTGAAGGCCAAATTGTCTGCGCAACAGGGGGAGCGGGAGTCGGGCGGCTCCACCGCCGCCACCGAGGCAGAGCTGAGGCAGCAGGTGTCGGAATTGCAGGCCAGGCTGTTCGAGGAGGAGCGGCAGCGGGAAGCGGCTGGTTCTGCCGCGGCCGTGGAGGCGGAGAAGCTGCGGCAGCAGTTGTCGGATCTGAAGGCGAAGCTGTCCGAGGAGGAGCGGCAGCGGGAAGCGGCCGCCTCTGCCGCGGCCGCGGAGGCGGAGCAATTCAGGCAGCGGGTCTTGGAGCTAGAGGGCAAGTTGTCCGAGGAGAAGCGGCAGCGCGGGTCCAGCCGCTCCGCCGTGGACGCAGATCAGCTGAGGCAGCAGGTCTCGGAACTGCATGCCAGGCTGTCCGAGGAGGAGGGGCAACGGAAAACGGCCGTCTCTGCCGCGGCCGCGGAGGCGGAGCAGCTGAGGCAGCAGGTGTCGGACCTGAAGGCCAAATTGTCTGCGCAACAGGGGCAGCGGGAGTCGTCCAGCTCCGCCGCCGCCACAGAGGCAGATGAGCTGAGGCAGCAGGTGTCGGAACTGAAGGCCAAGCTGTCCGAGGAGGAGCGGCAGCGGGAAGCGGCCAGCAACGCAACGGCCACTGAGGCGGAGCAGCTGAGGCAGCGGGACCCCTGGCTGCAGGCGACGGTGTCCGATCAGCGACAGCAGCACGAGTCGGGTGGTTCTGCTGTTACCGCTGAGGCGGAACGATTAAGGCAGAGGGTCTTGGAACTAGAGGCGAAGGTGTCAATGGAGGTGAAGCAGCAGCGCGAGGCGGACCAGCTGAGGCCGCAAGACCCTCAGCAGCAGCAGCACGATCCAGATGGCTCTGCTGTGGCCTCTGAGGCAGAACGATTGAGGCAGAAGGTCTCGCAGCTGGAGGCTCGCTTGTCCGAGGAGAGGCGGCAGCGCGAGTCTAGCCGCTCTGCTGTTGACACAGATCAGCTGAGGCAGCAGGTTTCGGGTCTGCAGGCCATGCTGTCCGAGGAGGAAGGGCAGCGAAAAATAGCTGGTTCTGCCGCGGCCGCGGAGGCGGAGCAGCTGAGGCAGCAAGTGTCGGAGCTGAGCAGCAAATTGTCTGCGCAACAGGGGCAGCGGGCGTCGTCCAGCTCCGCCGCCGCCGCAGAGGCAGTTGAGCTGAGGCAGCAGGTTTCAGAATTGCAGGTCAAGCTGTTCGATGTGGAACGGCAGCGGGAAGCGGCCGCCTCTGACGCTGCCGCGACGGCGCAGCAGCTAAGGCAGCAGGTGTCGGACCTGAAAGTCAAACTGTCTGCGCAACAGGAACAGCAGGAGTTGTCTTGCTCTGCCGCCGCCACAGAGGCAAATGAGCTGAGGCAACAGGTCTCGGAATTGCAGGCCAAGCTGTCCGAGGAGGAGCGGCAGCGGGAGGCGGCCAGCAACGTAGCGACCACTGAGGCCGAGCAGCTGAGGCGGCGGGAGCCCCAGCGGGAGGCCACCATTACCGATCAACACCAGCACCAGTCGGGCGGCTCTACTGTGGCCGCTGAGGTGGAGCAGTTGAGGCAGCCAGTCTTGGAGCTAGAGGCTAAGTTGTCCGAGGAGAGGCGGCAGCGCGAGCCTGCCCGCTCCGCCACCGTGGATGCAGGTCAGCTGCGCCAGCAAGTCTCGGAATTGCAGGTCAAGCTTTCCGAGGAGGAGCGGCAGCGGGAAGCGGCCGTTTCTGCCGCGGCCGCGGAGGCGGAGCAGCTGAGGCAGCAGGTGTCGGACCTGAAGGCCAAACTGTCTGCGCAACAGGGGCAGCGGGAGTCGTCCGGCTCCGCCGCCGCCACAGAGGCAGATGAGCTCTGGCAGCAGGTGACGGAACTGAAGGCCAAGCTGTCCGAGGAGGAGCGGCAGCGGGAAGCGGCTGGTTCTGCCGCGGCCGCGGAGGCGGAGCAGCTGAGGCAGCAGGTGTCGGACCTGAAGGCCAAATTGTCTGCGCAACAGGGGCAGCGGGAGTCGTCCGGCTCCGCCGCCGCCACAGAGGCAGATGAGCTGAGGCAGCAGGTGTCGGAACTGAAGGCCAAGCTGTCCGAGGAGGAGCGGCAGCGGGAAGCGATCGGTTCTGACGCGGCCGCGGCGGCGGAGCAGCTGAGGCAGCAGGTGTCGGACCTGAAGGCCAAATTGTCTGCGCAACAGGGGCAGCGGGAGTCGTCCGGCTCCGCCGCCGCCACAGAGGCAGATGAGCTGAGGCAGCAGGTGTCGGAACTGAAGGCCTGGCTGTCCGAGGAGGAGCGGCAGCGGGAAGCGGCTGGTTCTGCCGCGGCCGCGGCGGCGGAGCAGCTGAGGCAGCAGGTGTTGGACCTGAAGGCCAAATTGTCTGCGCAACAGGGGCAGCGGGAGTCGTCCGGCTCCGCCGCCGCCACAGAGGCAGATGAGCTGAGGCAGCAGGTGTCGGAACTGAAGGCCTGGCTGTCCGAGGAGGAGCGGCAGCGGGAAGCGGCTGGTTCTGCCGCGGCCGCGGAGGCGGAGCAGCTGAGGCAGCAGGTGTCGGACCTGAAGGCCAAATTGTCTGCGCAACAGGGGCAGCGGGAGTCGTCTGGCTCCGCCGCCGCCACAGAGGCTGATGAGCTGAGGCAGCAGGTGTTGGAACTGAAGGCCAGGCTGTCCGAGGAGGAGCGGCAGCGGGAAGCGGCCGCCTCTGCCGCGGCCGCGGAGGCGGAGCAGCTGAGGCAGCAGGTGTCGGAGCTGCATGTCAAGCTGTCCGAGGAGGAGACGAGGAATGAGTCTGCCAGTGCTGCCTTCGCTGCGCAGGCGGAGGCTGTGAGGGAGCAGGTATCGGGCGGGCCTCTTCCTGAGTCCCCCTTCCTGCATCACCCCCCACCTCCCCCGTTATTCTTCCTCGTTATTCTCCTCTCTCTCCCGCTCCTTATCTCTTCCTATCCTGTTCCATCCTAGAGCCGAGAGCGACGGGCCTTCCTCGTTCTCCTCCTCCTTCTCCCCCTCCTTATCTCTTCCTATCCTGTTCCATCCCAGAGCCGAGAGCGACGGGTCTTCCTCGTTCTCCTCCTCCTTCTCCCCCTCCTTGTCTCTCCCTGCCCTGCTCCATCCCAGAGCCGAGAGCGACAGGTCTCCGAACTGCAGGGCAGCCTGTCGGAGGAGGCGCTGCACCTGGAGGTGCTCGGCCCCTCCATCGCGGCGGAGGCGCAGCAGCTGAGGCATCGACTGCACGCAAGAGCGACTCTTCGCCAGAGTGGCCAGAGTGACCGCCCACGGAGCGCCGAAAATCGTCGATGGCAGCGGCCCGCGCGCTCGGTCTTGGCCCCCTACTCGCGCCCCCCCCTTGAAAGCCAGGGTCACGCTTGCCTGGGGCCCCTCGCCCGCGCGCAGTCGAAGCCTCCTCCTCCTCCTCCTCCTCCTCCTCCTCCTCCTCTTCCTGCTCCTCCTCCTCCTCCTCCTCCTCCTCCTCCTCCTCCTCCTCCCCCTCCCCCTCCCCCTCCTTCTCCTCCTCCTCCTCCTCCTGGCTCAAGTAAACGTCTGGGCTCAAGTGAGCCTCAAGTAAACGTCTGGGCTCAAGTGGGCCTTCAGACACATCGCAAACAAAGTCAAGATCACGTCCATGGCCGACGCACCCGGTACACCCAAGCGCGGTCCAAGCAGCAAGACGGGTTCGACGCCCCAAAGGCAAAGGGCGCGCATGGAAGCCATCCAGGATGTTTCGAGTGGTTCGGACGTCTCGGTCGACGAGGCAGTGGTCGAAGACGGAGCACCGGAGTGGTTCAAAGAGTTCGAAGAGCGGCAGGACAAGCGTCTCAACAAAATTACAAGGAAGGCCGGGAAGGTCGACGCAGCTGCCGCCTCCACGGCGGTGTCGACGGACTTCGAAAGCAGGATGACAGCCTCATTGAGGAGTCCTTCTCGTTCGGGGAGCAGACAGGCAGCGCATGCAGCCGCAGGTCGCCAGCGGCTATCACCAAAGGGGGGGAAGGGAGTGGGCTCCGTCCTCCTGGGCATCATCATCATTTTTTGCGTGTTCATTCGCTTCCAATACAGAGTTCATTGCTTGAACCGTTCGGGAACTGTGGAGTGCTGTACGTTTTTCGTCTGCCCAGAGAAGCGTACCGGGGGCCTCCAACTTTGGCATGTACGTGGACGTGCTGGTCGGGATCGACACCAGCAACGTCGTCGACGGGAGCCTTGTCGTCGCTTTCCTGAGCACCAGTCAGAGGACTGCGCGGGCGCCAAGGACAACTACGAGGACCCCTTCCTCGGAGGAGGGCCCGGCGCGGCTGCTGCCACCAGGAGGCGGCGCGCGCAGCGGGAGGCCGATCCCGCCCCTCAGGCAGTGATGCTGGCGAGGATTCTGACCTCGCTCATGCCATCTGGCCCTGCCCCACGCCCTGCACGGGGGACGGGGCAGCAGCCCCTCCCGCGCAACAGCCCCCAGCAACCGCCCCCCCGGGCGCAGCAGCAGCCGCAGCAGCAGCAGCCGCGGCAGCGACCCAGGCAGTCGAACTACCAGGAGCCGCCCACGCTGATCCGACTGCGCCAGCTCATGATTCTAGTGGACCAGGGCCTCAAGCCGACTGAGGCGCAGGTCACCGCCAAACTTCGAGAAGTCCTCGATGGTAACGGGACCGGCCAGGGGCAGCCGACGGGCTCGGCCCCTGGAGCCGGCCGTGCTCCGAGAAGGTTCACACGAGGTGCCAACCTCAACGTGGAGAAAAACCTGAAGGTGTGGACGCAGCCTTGGGGCGAGGCCAAGTTCCAGGCTGCCGCTGCACTCCGTGACGCTGCTCCACCGGCGGCGGGACCCCACGTGGTGGTGTGCCAGACCCCGGACGAACACCAAGAAACCATCATATGGAAGAAAGCCACGGCCTGCACGCAGCCGTGCACATACATCGTCTTCAACGCTGATCGCGAAGACATGCAGGACGAAGTGCTCGTGGAGGGTGCCCGCGGCCCAGTCCCGGTCCGCTGCCAGATCGTGCAGTCTGGTGCCCAGGCGCCGGTGCGGTCGGGGCTCCCCTCGGGCATGAAAGATGATACGCCAGAGGTGGCGGCCGCCGCCGCCCCAAACACCACCATCTACAGGCTTACAGCTATCAAGGCCTGCACCGATGGTGCCATCGTCGCAAAAGCTGAGGGCGAACCAGGTGCGCTGGGGAATATCGTGTTACCTAAAGAACTCTCACCGCTGGTGGTCCACACAAGGGCTGCCATGAATTATTCAGATGTGGTCACCGCCCTGGTTGTCGTGAAGGAAGCGGACCAGGACAAGATCAACCAAGCGTCGCTGCCTCGGGGGTGCGTGTGCTCTCCGCAGGGGCCCCGTGACATCCCACGCTACGTCACCAAGCTCCCAGAGGAGACGGATGCAGCGTACTGGGCACGAGTCGACCGGAACAGGATGGCGGCGCAGGGCCGTCTCGTGTACCGGAAGAACGACAAGGCCTACCTGGGCATCATTGCCAACAAAGCCATCACCGACACGGTGGAAACCATTCGCTGGATCCTCAAGCGGGCCCCCCCCAACTGGACCTCCCCTGAGGACGTCAAGACGTGGGCCGAGGCTCGTGGGTTCACCAAGTTTGCCAATTGCGCCCGGATGGGCAAAAAGATCTGGAGCTTCCACGCCGAAGCTGCTAGTGTGGCGAGCTCTTTCACCTTCCAGTCTGGCATCTTTGTCGTGCAGGCCGGGCGCGGTGGAGGCGATCGCAAGAAGCCCGACAAGGCAGCCCCGCCCGCTGGGCCTAGACAGCGCTGGGGCGCCCCGCCCCCCCGGGCGCGCGCTGCCCAAGCAGATTCCGACATGGGTGAGGATGAAGCGGGCGCTTCGGCAGAGGCTCCGCCAGCTGCGGTAGGGGCTCTGGCGCTCACCGACGCTGGTGCGGCCGCCACTGGTGGCCCGGAGCAACCAGCCGCCAAGGCGGCCCCGGCGCAGAAAAGCCAGAAAAAGGAAACGCCCCTCCCTTGGGCAAACTTGTTCGTGGAGGAGGCGTGTGGCGGCCAGGGGGATTGCCAGTGCATTGCGCTAGCAGAGGCTCTCAACCACCTCGCCCCGACGAGAAAGGCCCCGGGCCCGAATGACTTCAAGCCGGGTGGGCGTCTCCAGGCCAGCTTGCGGATGCAGGCCGCCGCGGAGATCAGCGACAACAAAGAGAAGTACGACAAGGCCACTTCCGAGTGCACGGAGAAGGTGGCGACCACGGGCACGATGGGGGACAGCCTCACGCTGTGCGCCCTCGCTGCTGCCCTGAGGGTTGACATCGTGATCTGGCGGTGGTCCGAGGAGGAGCGGAAGTGGTCCCTCTTCACCACTGCTGCGGCCAACAAGCCAAAGAAGAAGAAGAAGAAGACCCTCTGGGTCGCGCTGAAGAGCCGCCACTACACGTGGCTAAAGCCCGTCAGCGTGGAGGATGGCGACAAGCAGCGCCTGGACATGCAAACGGCGGCCCTGGCCGCGCCGAGGGGCCGACAGGGCTTCTCGGGGGCAGGAAAGGCTTTCCCATTCCCGTCCAAGAGCGTGCGGAGCCTGCTGGGCCTGGGCAGCAACACCTCGAAGGGCGTGTCCGCCAGTAAGAAAGCCCCCGCCTCCAAGGGCAAAGCAGCAAAGCGCAGCGCGGCCGCCTCCACGGCCGACGTTGCGGAGCTGCTGGGCCTCGACGCAGCCCCGGCGGCGGCAGCTGCCGACAGCGGTTGGATGAAATATGAACACCTCAAGTGCACGTGCGGATGGACCCCTGACCTGGCGTCCTCCGTTCCCGTGGACACGCAAGCACGACGCCGCTTCAAGGCCTGCAAGGACGAGCCGCCCCCGAAGCTGGGCCCGAGCCGCAACAACCTGAAAGTGCGGGCCATGGGCGCCAAGGGCGTGGAAGTCCGACAAGCCAAAGCATTCGACAACTACGTCACCTGGAAAGCTGCGTCTGCGAGTACACCTCGGCCGGGTGCTACACGAAGGTCACGCCCCGCATGAACCTCGCGTACTATACATGCACGAAGTGTGGGATGGGCAAGCGCCTCTCGGCAGCCAAGATCACCCTCTGTAAGGCTCGCGGGGTGGCCGTGGGCAAGACGCAAGGAGGCAAGATGCTCAAGAAGCTCCTTGGCCAGAACCGCTATCGGCAGCGCCTGGCGGCATTGTCCAAGGCCTCCGCCAAACTCAAAGCTCTGCCGCTGGCTCAGAGGCCGGTGTCCCGGACCCCCGAGTACGCGAGACGCAAGGCGTTGGAGTACTACCAGGCGGACCCCGCCAAGTTTGCTCTGCAACGCAGGACCTACGCGAGGAAGCACGCCAGGGCCAAGGCCCGGCGCGCCCAGGGCCATTGACTAGGCCCCGACAGAAACCTCCCAGCCGGCAGCACGCCCGGCGATGGGGAGGCCGCCAGGCCGGCGGGCCCCTGCAGGCAGCCGGCCTTCACCGACATGATGTTCATTGTCATGATCATCCACTTTTTCACAATGTTTATAGTTTTCCTCTCCATCATCTTCTTCCTTATCGCGGGGGAGGGGAGGCCAGCAATGCCATGCACGTGTTTACCCATGTCCTCTTCGTCCTTATTGCGGGGAAGGGAGAGATCAGCAGGGTCATGCACGTATTCATCCATGTCACCTTCACTTTCATGCACGTGGTTATCCATTTCTTCTTCGTCCCTATCGCGGGGGAGGGGGAGATTAGCAGGGTCATGCACGTGATTCTCAATTTCACCTTCACTTTCCTCCTCATCCTCCTCGTCCCTACCGGGTGCGACGAGGGCCTGAGGCAGAAGCAACTTGACGCTCATGGGGGCAAGAGAGCTCGTGCACAGTTTCGACTCCGGCCGAGTCCACAGCAGATGCCCCCCCACGATCCATCGGCCACGCGGCCGGGACAGCATGTACTCATCGATTGCACTCTCACTTTCGGCATTTACACCTTCTTCATTATCATGTACGTGTTTATCCATCTCCTTTTCGTCTTCATCGCGGGGGAGGGGGAAATCAGCAGGGTCATGCACGTGTTTATCCAGTTCACTTTCACTTTCCTCCTCATCCTCCGCGTCCCCACCGGGTGCGACGAGGGCCAGAGGCAAAAACAACTTGACGTTCATGGGGGCAAGAGAGCTCGTGCACAGTTTCGACTCCGGCCGATTCCACAGCGGCCGGGACAGCACGTACTCATCCATTGCATTTCCACTCTTAGCATTCACACCGTCTTCATTATCATGCACGTGTTTATCCATTTCTTTTTCGTCCTCCTCGCGGGGGAGGGGGAGATCAGCAGGGTCATGCACGTGTTTATCCAGTTCATTTTCACTTTCCTCCTAATCCTCCTCGTCCCCACCGGGTGCGACGAGGGCCAGAGGCAGAAACAACTTGACGTTCATCATTGTCCCCCTTTCCATCCTCATGGCCATCATGTGTGTGAGGGGCCACGAGACGGTGGTGCAGCTGAAGATCCTTTCCTGGGAGGGGGTCGGTCGTCCCACCGGCGCCGGGCTGCGCGCCTGGCCAAGGAAGCCGCGGCGGCTGCCGGGGCTCCACAAACCCCGGCCGCCCATGCAGAAGTTCCGCCTGGCCGCAAGCTCCGGGTGGCCATTCTCAACGTGACCTCTGCCACCACTGCGCGCATCAAGGCAATGCTGGAAACAGAACTGGTCGAGTCTGCGGACATCATCTGCTTGCAGGAGGTCCGCCACACCACAGTGACCCCACGCTGGCTCATGAGGCTGGCATCCCAACGGGGATGGGGTATAAAGCTGTCGACGCCTTCCCCCGTGGACCAACGGGGCACGCACGTCCAGGGCGGCACCGCCATCATGTGGAGGCGCTCCTTGGGGAAGGTTTCCACGTACGCCCACCCGAAAGACCATCGACTGGTGGGACTCCTGTTTGCGGGAGGTGCAGTCGTTTCCGCCTATGGGCCGGCTTCACGCCCGTCCCTCGAATGGGTCGATAAAGCTGTGCAGTGGATGGACGAGAAGTTCCACGACAAGCCGCAGGTGCTCATTGGGGACCTGAACTGGAGGGAGATGTACCGCCAGCTCGTCGCCGACGCCTGGCAGATCGCCGACATGCCCTCCCCAACCACACATGCGAATACCAAGCCTACCCGAGGGCTGGCCCAGGGCTGTTCCATCCAGGCCGCTGGAGTGGAAGCCGTGGCCGGTGTCCCGCACCACAAGCTGGTTCTTCGAGGTGGACGTGCCGCTGCCGCCGCGGCCCGCCCAGGAGCGCCTTAAACGTACATCTTTCTACACTTGGAATGACAATGCTATTATGCTCCCGGCCGATGCGGGAGACATCGTGTCCGCCGTCGATGCCGAGTACCCTGTCCTGGAGGCCTCGTTCCCGCTGTTGGACAGGTGGAGGCGGTGGCACGCTCGGGCTGAGACTGTGGCCCGCCTGGCGTGCAGCCGGGACTTCATGGAAATGACTCGCACTAGGGAGCGGCCGAAAGCTTCCCCGCCCGAATCCCGTCGGTGCGCCGATTCGGCCCAGCACCGGGTGGATGAAGCGATCACTCTTCGACAGCTGCGGCGGCTACACCGCCGGTTCACCCACGGGAAGACTGCGGGGGTGGACTCGGAGCGCCTGTCACCCAAGCACTTGCACGACTTCGGCGTGGCAGCCCGTCAGGGAGCCCTCCACGCAAAGTGGTCCGACGCCCCGCTGTTGTGGCCGACGTACGCCGCCGCAGTCGACATCATCAATGCCAGCATCACCAAGGAGGAGCGGAAGGGCAAGGACGCCCGCGGCCGCCAATGGAAACAACGCTTCACCGAGATCACTCGGGACACTTGGGCCGCCGCCGGCCCTGTCATCAAGCCGGGCCCCGAGGCGCCGACCTTCACCCCCGACTCCATGCGGGCGGAGTGGGAGCCGATCTGGAACCCGCCAGACTACAACCCGGATGCCATCCGGGCAGCTTGGTGCACCTACGCGGACAAGGCCGTCTTCCCGCAGTGTGGGGTTGCGGTTGACTGGATCCCCGACTACGACGACTTCTCTGCCGGGGCGGCGGGCCTCGACGGCTGGTCAGCCGCAGAAGTCAAAGCTTTGACACGGCACTTCGAGTTCTTGAAGATGGAGCTCTACGCGTTGTGGGTGGCAACCACACGCGCCGCTGGTGACCCGGCGGGCCTCCCGGAGGCCCTCGTCGACTTCCTCTTCTGCTGGCGGGTGGTGGGGATCCCCAAGCCCAAGACCGACGCCTCCCGGCCGATCTCGGTGGCGTCATGCCTCGTACGGACGTGGCTCAGTGCATGCGCGGCCATCGCGCCCCACCCAGTGGACACGCAGCGGGCCACACGCCCCGGAGTCTCCGTGGTACACGCCATCTCTTCTTGGCTGAGTGCGGCGGCGGCTGCTGACGAAGGCTGTGAGCAAGACCTCACAAAAGCGTACGACCGAATCGACCACCTGCTGGCGACAGAGGCTCTGGACCGTGAAGGTTGGCCTCGGCACCTGCAGTGTCTGTTCAGATGTTCCTGGCGGGGCCCCCGGTACTGCCAGGTGGAGGGAGCGCTGAGCTCTTCCCCAATCCGCCCCTGCTGCAGCCTCCCGCAGGGCGGGTCTGACGCGCCAGCCGGCATGGTGGCCACCTTGGTCCCGTGGCAGCCCCAAGACGTGACACCCTTCGCTTTCATGGATGACAGGTCCATGACCGTCGGCGCGCCGGCGGCCAGCACCAAGCTCCGCGATGCCCTCGTGTACACGCAAGACTTCGACACGGCCGCCAACTTCGCCGAGAACGTTGGCAAGAGACAACACTGGACAAAGACCGGAGGTGAACGAGTTGAGCACATGGGTATCTCCGCTGTGCCGGGCTCCCCGGAGGAGCCCATCGAGCCTCGCTTCGGGTGGGGCCCCGTGCGAACGACGCTACGCCGCCTGGGCACACTCCCCGGGTCCGCCAAAGTCAGAGAGTCCCTGACAGCGGCTTACGCTTCGCCGATGCGGTTGTGGGCAGCACCTGTGGTGGCGCCGCCCCCGCCAGACATCACGCCCCTGGTCATGAAGGCCGTGCTGCGCACCGGATGTTCCTGGCGGTGCCGGGGCCGCTGGTGGGCCACCAGACTCTACCTACACCCGCTCCACGGGTCAATTCTTCGCGGACTCAAGGTTGTTCTTGATCCTGAATTCTGTTGGAGTCCCCATGTGGAGACGCAGATACGTACCGCCGTGGATCGGCTGGGGCTCGGATTTCGAGACTACGACCGTTACTTTGGCCTGTGCATGGAGGTGCTCCCGGGGGGCGACCCGCGGGTCCAGAAGGTCACAGACAGGGTGCGCCAGGGGCGCTCCTATTTCTGGACGCGGTCCGAAGAAGCGCAGCATTGCGCGGGGCTGGTGTGCCGCATTCGCTGTCTGCAGCAGCGCGCCTCTAGCCGCAACGATGTGGAGGGCGTGGAGGAGGTCGACGCGGAGGCCTCCAGCGACCCCCGGTGGAAGAAGTTCTCGGAGAGCCTGCCGGCCGCCGAGAAGCAGGCTCTGAACATCTTCCGGTGTGGAGCCATACGCACCCAGACCCGCATCAGCCAGAACACCAGGTGTGCGCTGTGCGGAGCGCTCCACCCGAGTGCCCGGCACCTGTGGAGCGAATGCAGTGGGATGGGCGAAGAACGCCGGCTTCTCAGCCGGTTGCACGGCCTCCAGCCTACGTGGTGGGCTCGTCAGCCACGAGTTACATCCAAAAGCGGATGGATCACAACCAGTGCACATCGTGATCATCATCGTCGTGTTGATATGCAGATTGCCAGTTGTCGTATGGGTATCCTCATTTGTTTGGGCCCGTTGAAGGCGCTGCTCGACTGAGGGCCGCTCCCGCCGAGCGAGAAGGACTCCTCCATCGAGGCTGTCATCCTGTCGCTCAAGCAGTTTGTGGAAGGCCGGGAAGCTCAAGCAGTTGATCATGGAGGTGAGGGGGGGGGGGGGGGGGGGGGGGGAGGCGAAGGAGATTGCAAAGCAAGTTCAAGAGAAGGTGGAGGACTTAGAGATCGATATCACGAACCTGCGGGTGCACGTGGAGCTGATGGTTACTAAGGAGGAGGTGAAGGACCTAGTGAAGACCATGGTGGAGCAGGAGGTGAAGGACAATTTCAATCAGGATCCAAAAGGGGCAGAGGGGGCCGAAGGAGGAGGAGGCTGAGGAGGACCAGCAGGGCGGGGGATGTGGCGACCAAGTCCGCAGTCAGCGAAAAGGTCGGGCAAGGGGGACCTCACCGCCGAGAAAAGGTCGCGCACGGTCTATTTCGGCAAGTTCCCACAAGACACCCGTGCAACCATCATCACGGACCACCTGACCAAGTGGACGGAGGATCAGAAGGACAGGTAGAGGAGGTTTTTGCTTTCGACAAGTTTGCCGAGAGAGGTGCGGTGCGCTTCAGGACCGAAGCAGCCATGTGGAGTTATTTCGCAAACAACAGGGGCAAACTGCAGCATGAGGTTATGGGGGTCAAGGTCTACGCCAACCCAGACGCTATGCACGACCCCGGCCCAGGTAAGACGAAGGCGGTGCGGAAGGTGGTGCGGGTGATCATCGATAATGCGGGAGGGGATGGGAACGAAGCCAAAAAGCATATTGATACCAACTATACAAAAGGGGTGGTGTGGTGGAAGGATGGCCGAGTAGCAGAGTGGGATGCTCGCCGAGGGAAGATGCAATTGATGGGAGCAGCGACGGAATTCCAGAAGCAGTACGACAAGTTGCTTGCGGAGGAATAGGGCACGCTGAGCCCAACAGAGATACCGGCACACGTAGGGGATGATGGGCCGACCGGTTACGGTGGAGGAAGAGGGAAATATAGTAGCATAGATGGCGATGTTCCGTTTTGTTTTAAGCAGAGTGTTGAGATCAGCAGAGTGGAGATGAAAGGGAAACCAGATGAAGGACAAGCGTTCTTTTTTCGGAGCTTGTTGCTGGAACGCCAACGGCATGGAGGAGGGCGCAGTTGGGGACATGATTGTTTTACTCGATGGGGACACGGCGTGGGATGCTGTATTTCTACAGGAAGGACCTTTCGTGGAGAAAGATACTTCTATGATTTTGGATGGGGGGCACGGTTTATTTGTAGGGTCTTGTCAGCTTTGGAATCGCAGCGTGGCCGTTGTGATCCACAAACGATGGTTAGATATGGGCGCCGCGCTGAAATTCACAGCAGTCGGGCGGAGGGCGGCTTTTGCAGACATGTCTTGTGGTATTATGCGCCTACGCCTCATCGCGTCGCATTTCCCGCGCGCTGCAGACCTGGAGTCCGAGTGCATCGACAATCTGATATTGCTCAGCGAGGTTATGGAGGAGGGCAGGCGGCTAGGATTTACGAGCACTTTGGGGGCAGATGCGAATGCCACTATCGGGTCCAGAACAGGCGCAGACAGCCCGCGCATAGTTGGTCTGCACGGTCTGGGACGCCGGTGCAATAAGGGTTTTGGTCGAGTGGTTGCGCGGGGTGCGGCTGTCTGCTGTGGCCGCTCGAGTCGAGGAGGTCCCCCTCGAAGCATGGGCGCGCGAGCTCTCGAGCACAGGGCTCCGGCGACGAATCGATTACATCTTCATCGACGACATTGTTGCGAAAGCATGTGTTGATTGGTCAATATTTGGGCAGCTGGGTGGGGAATCTGATCATCGAGCATTCGTCGCAGATTTCGTTTTCAAGGGAAAGCCGAAACGATGGAGAAGCAAACGAACCAGGACGCTGATAGGATGGAGCCCACAGTTAGACCTTGAGGCGAACCCTTCCAATTTCCACGAGGCTTTGGATGACGCGTTGGGGAATATGGCCAGGTCGACAGATCCCTCCCTGACAGTGGCCGCAGCTGCTTTTTCGACGGGGAGTGTTCCGCAGAAGCCTCACCACTGCCAAAGTCAGGAGACGAGACGATGGCACTTATGGAGGCTCGTAGGAACGATGCGGACCCAGATGCGAGGAAACATTTGTCAAAGCAGGTATGGCGAGCACTACGTCGGGACCGCCGTAAGAGACAAGACCGGGATATCGGGATATCGAAGCTTTGGTTTGCAGAGGGGGCGGGTATGGAGGTCTAACACGTCTTGAACAAGTACAACAGGGGGTCGATCGGACCACGAGCATTACAGACAACGGTGGCATTTCGCAGACAGATCCTGAATCAATAACTGAAGTCTTCGCTTTATTGCGTGAGGAGTTGTGCAAACAGAATGACATCATTGAAGAAGGATTGTTGCATAACGATTTGAACGACGACATTGGACGAAGAGGAGCTGCGAGAAGCGATCCGGACACTCAGACGAGGAAGAACGGGCGCTGACGATGGCCTCGCGACAGAGATGCTGCAAACAGGTCATGGGAAATTGATGCACGTACGTCATCGCGCAGTTCTTTACTCAGATCCAGGGCCGATTGATGCCACCGGAGGAATGGCGAACCACCAAATTCCGAGTATTGTTTAAAAAGGAAGATCCTGCATTGCCGAAGAATTATAGGCCAATCGCCATCCTCCCGGTAATGGCCAAACTGTTCAGCGCTGTATTGTACAACCGCTTGACCCCATCCATAGATGAGAAGTTTTCGCGTGGGCAGTTAGGATTCCGCCCTGGGCGCGGCTGTGCCGATGCGCTTCGCATTGCGCGGGCGGTGGTGGGGAAATCTTTGGAATGGGGGGGGGGGGGGGTCTGGATAGCAGCGCTGGACGTCGAAAAAGGCTTTCGATAGAGTGCACCACAAGGCCCTATTCGATGCTTTACTGCAGAATGTTGTGAGTACGTCGGCAGTTGGGTTGCTTCGCAGATTGTACTTTGGAGTCGAAGGCTTTGTGTCGCTCTGGCCAGGGCAAGACAGTAGATTCTTTGCAGTCAGCCGGGGCGTTCGAAAAGGTGACCCTCTGTCGCCAATCCTGTTCAATCTGGTTCTAGACGGGGCCTTGAAAGAGGTCAACGAACTCTGGCAGAAACGTGGGTGCGGCACCACAGTGGGGTACACCCTACTGAGCCCCAGTCTGACACACATTGCTTTCGCCGACGACCAGACGTTCTTCGCCAGGAGTTCGTTGTCGCTCAAGAGGATGATTTTGTCTCTGAGGGAGCCGCTCTCGAAAAGGGGGCTTTCGCTACACCCGACGAAATGTAAGGTGCAGACGACGCTGCAGACCCGCGTGCAGCGGGGACATGTCAAGTTGGATGCGCATTTTTTTGTGGACGTCCTCGAACAAGGCCAATGCTTAGAATTATTCGGGACCCATTTGTCATTGGAGGACCTGACAGGTGCGGAAGTGAAGAACAGGATCGCTGCAGGTTGGAGGAAATTTTGGGCATTGAAAAAGATGCTATTGAACCATTCGTATTCCGTGGAGAACAGGCTGCGCCTCTTTGAAAGCACTGTGTCTGGGACTGTCCTCTGGGCCTCGGAGTCATGGTCTCCCCGCGTCGAAGAACTCATGCGACTTCTGTCCACGCAGGGGGCAATGCTGCGGCGGATAGTGGGCTGCAGCCGCAGGCCGGAGGAGCAATGGGTCGAGTGGCTACAGAGAACGACCAGCAAGGCCCAGGCGTCAGCGAAGCAGTCAGGCGTGCAAGAGTGGCCGCGAGCACACCTTCAGCGCAAGTGGCGGTGGGCAGGCCACGTCGTCCGAATGCCTTACGGGGAATGGGCAGGAAAAGTGACGAGGTGGCGGGATTCATCGTGGCAGGCGTCTTTCGCAAACGATTCCCAAAGGCCACTGAGGCCATCTCGCCGGTCATGGACGAAGTTCGAGGGGTCTTTGAAGAGATATTGTATCGAACATGGTATGGGCGAGTGGCAGACTGTGGCGCAAGACCGGCACCTTTGGTACACATACAACGACGATTTCGTGACTTGGACCACGAGGCTCTACTGAGCACCTTCTCGGTGCCGCCCCCCGCGGGCCTGAGACGGCACTTCCTTCCTTCCTTCTTCCTCATCCTCTTCCCCCTCCTCCTCCTCCTCCTCCTCCTCCTCCTCCTCCTCCTCCTCCTCCCCCTCCTTCTCCTCCTCCTCCTCCTCCTCCTCCTCCTCTCCTCCTCTGTCCGCGGAGGCGGGGCTGCGCGAGGCTGCCGCGCCCGCCGCGGCCGCGGAGGCGGAGCGGCTGCGACAGCAGGTGGCGGAGCTGCGCAGCAAGTTGTCTGCGCAACAGGTCCCCCACGTCGAGGAGGAGGAGGAGGAGGAGGAGGAGGAGGAGGAGGAGGAGGAGGAGGAGGAGGAGGAAAAGGGGAGGAGGAGGAGAGGAGGAGGAGGAGGAGGGCGAGGAGGAGGAGGAGGAGGAGGATGAGGAGGAGGAGGAGGATGGGGAGGAGGAGGAGGAGGAGGAGGAGGAGGAGGAGGAGGAGGAGGAGGAGGAGGAGAAAGAGGCGGACCAGTGGCAACCCAAAAGTCATCAACGATGTTGGAATTAACCCTCCCTCCAAGCTCCCTCTTCGCAGAGCCCTACAACGGTTCATTTCCATTGAGGGAGCTGCTTCGTTGGAAGACAGCAGTTTGGAGATCCTGAAGCGTGCCGAAACGTTCAACGCCAAGTCTCAACCTGACCGCTGTTTCTTGACGATCCAGAACCGTGCCATAACGCCATGTTTGGAATTTCAACACAACGAATCAACATAACTGTTGCGCCTGCATAATCCTGAGCCCTTCCAAAACACAATTTCTGGTACGTTGATCATGGGGATCCGTGAAACTCTTGCAATTGTTTAAAAGAGTATGCGCGGCGCTAAAGGGGGAGCCACATGTTGAAAACGACCCGCCCTCAATCCGTGAAGCTCTTGCAAATGTTTAGATCGAATGTGCGCGGCTCTAAGGCGCGAGCCATATTTTGAAAACGACCCGCCATCAATCCGTGAAGCCCTTGCATTTTTTTCAAACGGATGTGCGCGGTGCTAATGCGAGAACCACATTTTGAAAACCACCTGCCCTCATTTGGTGAAGCTCTTGCAATTTTCGACTGCGAATGTGCGCGGAGCTATGGCGAGAGCCACATTTTGCAAACCACCCGCTCTCCATCGGTGAAACTGTTGTCACGTTTTAAGCTTCAGGGTCATAAGTTGCGAGGGCGTCTCAGACGAAACGAGCGGCCCGCCCTAAAAACTGGCTTCGGGGTGCGACAGGGAGGAGTTATCTATAAGGAGAAGAAATGAAGGATGAGGAGGAGGAGGATTAATCATAAATTTATAAGAATAACTTTGATACTACTAATACTCGTAATCGTACGCATCATCATACTACAAATGGTAGTAATCATCATCATAATCGCCAGAATAAGAAGAACAAGCATAATAATAGCACTGAGAAGAAGATGGGTACTAAAACTAAGAAGAATAAGAAGAAGAGGCGGAGGAGGAGGAGGAGGAGGAGGAGGAGGAGGAGGAGGAGGAGGAGGAGGGGGTGTCTGGGATGAAAAACCATCCGGACCCGTTAACGAGGAGGAGGAGGAGGAGGATGAGGAGGAGGAGGAGGAGGAGGAGGGGTTGCCTGGGAGGAAAAGCCATCCAGACCCGATAACTGGTGTTTGCTAAACGGCCTTGGGCGTTTAGTAGACAGCCCTGCCCTGTTCGATTCCTTTTCAGGGTGCGTTTACTGAACGGCTTCGCGTGTCTGGCTGATTGTCATGAGGGTGGATTTTCTGCGCTCTAACAGGGGCAGCGGGAGTCGGCTGGCTCCGCCGCCGCCGCCGCCGAGGCAAATGAGCTGAGGCAGCAGGTCTTGGAACTGCAGGCCAGGCTGTCCGAGGAAGAGCGGCAGCGGGAAGCGGCTGGTTCTGCCGCGGCCGCGGAGGCGGAGCAGCTGCGGCAGCAAGTGTCGGAGCTGAGCAGCAAGTTGTCTGCGCAACAGGGGCAGCGGGAGTCGTCCGGCTCCGCCGCTGCCGTAGAGGCAGTTGAGCTGAGGCAGCAGGTTTCAGAATTACAGGTCAAGCTGTTCGATGCGGAGCGGCAGCGGGAAGCGGTCGGTTCTGACGCGGCCGCGGCGGCGCAGCAGCTAAGGCAGCAGATGTCGGACCTGAAAGCCAAACTGTCTGCGCAACAGAAGCAGCAGGAGTTGTCTGGCTCTGCCGCCGCCACAGAAGCAAATGAGCTGAGGCAACAGGTCTCGGAATTGCAGGCCACGCTGTCCAAGGAAGAGCGGCAGCGGGAAGCGGCCTGTGCCGACGCGACCGCGGAGGCGGAGCAGCTGCGGCACCAGGTCACGGAGCTGCAGGACGCACAGTTCAGGGTCCATCTCGATCCGATGGATCAAAATTCGATGCCAGTTTTGTTCAGCTCGATCGGATTTGGTTCCGATGCTCCGATGATCCGAGGCGGCTTGGTGCTTGCACGGCGCTAGTGTGCATCCTGCGCGCAGCCGGTCCGATCTGATTCCGACTCCTTGCCGATGCAGCCCGATCAAACAGAACTCTTGATCCGATGCGATTTCCCGACTCGATGCTGACTGATCTTGCAGTTTGTAGGTTTGCACCGGGGAAGCACCTCCCAGGGCTCGAGCCAAACGGTGCTTTGGCGATCTCGTGGACGGCTTTCGTTTTGGCCTTGCTTCGCAGCAGAGGCAGATCGAATACAGACCGAGGGAAACGAAAACAACACGGAAACGGAAAACGACATCGAAACTTATCTTGGCGAAGAACCCAACCATATGCAATTGCGAATACCGCAGGTGTGACTACGATCTGAGGTGAAACTCCCTATGGGGCAACGCCCGCATGCGGGCGGTGGCACTGAGGCCTTCGGTGGAGCTCCCTGTGGAGCCACGAAGCGTCTGAGGGTTGTGCCGAAACGGGAGTGTCGCCCCAAAGCGGGCTGCGCCAAAGGGACCTCAAGTGGCGCTTCACCCACCCAGTACAGCGTTTCGTGGCCCGATAGGGAGCTGCACCGAAGGCCCCAGTGACAGGGTTCGCATGGCGGCCCCACGCCATTTTGGCGCACTCCTCACACGGTTCGTGGCCGCATAGGGAGCTCCACCGAAGGCCCCAGTGGCAGGGTTCGCATGGCGGCCCCGCGCCATTTCGGCGCACCCCTCACACGGTTCGTGACCCCATAGGGAACTCCACCGAAGGCCCCAGTGACAGGGTTCGCATGGCGGCCCCGCGCCATTTTGGCGCACCCCTCACACGGTTCGTGGCCGCATAGGGAGCTCCACCGAAGGCCCCAGTTGCAGGGTTTGCATGGCGGCCCCGCGCCATTTTGGCGCACCCCTCACACGGTTCGTGGCCGCGCCGAAGGCCCCATGGCAGAATTTTGGTGCACCCCTCCACCCCAAGGCCCCAGTGGCAGGGTTCGCATGGCGGCTCCGCCCATTTTGGCGCACCCCTCACACGGTTCGTGGCCGCATGGGGAGCTCCACCGAAGGCCCCAGTGGCAGGGTTCGCATGACGGCCCCGCGCCATCTCGGCGCACCCCTCACATGGTTCGTGGCCGCATAGGGAGCTCCACCGAAGGCCCCAGTGGCAGGGTTCGCATGGCGGCCCCGCGCCATTTCGGCGCACCCCTCACACGGTTCGTGGCCGCATAGGGAGCTCCACCGAAGGCCCCAGTGGCAGGGTTCGCATGGCGGCCCCGCGCCATCTCGGCGCACCCCTCACATGGTTCGTTGCCGCATAGGGAGCTCCACCGAAGGTCCCAGTGGCAGGGTTCGCATGGCGGCCCCGCGCCATTTCGGCGCACCCCTCACACGGTTCGTGGCCGCATAGGGAGCTCCACCGAAGGCCCCAGTGGCAGGGTTCGCATGACGGCACCGCGCCATCTCGGCGCACCCCTCACATGGTTCGTTGCCGCATAGGGAGCTCCACCGAAGGTCCCAGTGGCAGGGTTCGCATGGCGGCCCCGCGCCATTTCGGCGCACCCCTCACACGGTTCGTGGCCGCATAGGGAGCTCCACCGAAGGCCCCAGTGGCAGGGTTCGCATGACGGCACCGCGCCATCTCGGCGCACCCCTCACATGGTTCGTTGCCGCATAGGGAGCTCCACCGAAGGTCCCAGTGGCAGGGTTCGCATGGCGGCCCCGCGCCATTTTGGCGCACCCCTCACACGGTTCGTGGCCGCATAGAGAGCTCCACCGAAGGCCCCAGTTGCAGGGTTCGCATGACGGCCCCGCGCCATTTCGGCGCACCTCTCACACGGTTCGTGGCCCCATTAGGAATTCCCTTTTTTCGTCCCACTTGCCCTGCGTTCTCACACTTGCGTATGGCTGGGTCGGTCGTTCGCCAGTATAATTTTTGTGATTTCCTGGCGATGACGGGCGTGACTGGGGTCGGGGCGGTCACGTCACGATTCGCGCACGCGCCGTCTGGGAATGCTTTGGACCGATTGCGCCGGCGCGAACTGTGGCGTGACCAAGGGGATGGTGCGGGTGGCGGGGCTGGTCATGGGGCTGGTCAGGGGGCACCCGGGCACCGGGAAACCGGGCAGCCCCAGGCACCCGGGCACCCGGGCACCCTGGCACCCGGGCACCCGGCCCGGCCACCGAAATCGGCGACGTTGGTCACCTACACATATGAATCCGCTAGGACCCCTACAGAGGCAAGTTCTGATTGGGGAAACATGAAATAATCGGGCCCCTACGCAGCCAGCGGTGGCTGGAGTGATGGACGGGGGCTGGACGGAGAGGGGGGCAGCCCAGGAACAATCGCAGGCCGCGGTGCTGCAGCGCGTTACCGGCATTGAGATGCGGCTGGAGTTGGAGGAGCAGGGCATCAGGGCACCCGCATGTGTGTCCATGCTCTTTCTCCACCCTGCCCTCCGCTTCCTGCACTCCCTCCCTCATTCCATCCCTTCCCCCTGCTCATGCGTGCGCCCAGTCCTGTTACTCATCCTGCTCATGCATTCCCCGTTCTCTTTTTCCCAACCATCCTGTGTGTTACATGTGGTGTTGGGTCTTCGTTTTGAAGCGACAGCGCCCCGCGTCTCACTCCTTCCGCCTCCCCCTCCTCTCTCCTCCATCATCACTAGCATCATCATAATCATCATCATCGACGTCATCAACACCATCATCATCATCATCATCATCATCATCATCATCATCATCATCATCATCATCATCATCAGCATCAACAGCATCATCATCATCATCATCATCATCATCTTCACATCATAATCATCATGGCCGTCTTCACTACCGTCATCGTCATCACCATCGCCGTCATCATCACCATCATCGCCATCAGCTTCGGCACGCCCCTCACACGTTTGGTGGCCCCATACTCGCGCACCCGAAGGTCCCAGTGGCAGCGCTCCCATGGCGGCCCCGCGTTCATTTTGGCACACCACTCACACGTTTCGTGGCCCCGTAGGGAACTCCACCGAATGCCCCAGTGGCAGCGTTCGGATGGCGGCCCAGCACCCGTCCTAGCACACCCCTCGCACGTGGGGTGGCCCCATGCAGAGCTCCACCAAAGGCCCCACTGGCGACGTTCGCATGGCGGCTCCGCGCCCATTTCGCCACACCCCTCACACGCGTGGCCCCCTAGGGAGTTCCACCGAAGGCCCCAGTGGCAGCTTTCGCATGGCGGTCTCGCGCCCATTTCGGCACACACCTCACACGTTTCGTGGCCCCATAGGGAACTCGACTGAAGGCCCCAGAGGTAGCGTTCGCATGGCGGCCCCGCGCCCATCTTGGCACACCACTCACATGTTTCGTGGCCCCATAGGGAGCTCCACCGCAGGCCCCAGTGGCAGCGTTCGCATGGCGACCCAGCGCTCATACTCGCGCACCCAAGGTCCCAGTGGCAGCGCTCGCACGGCGGCCCCGCATTCATTTTGGCACACCCCTCACGCGTTTCGTGGCCCCATAGGGAGCTCTACCGAAGGCCCCAGTGGCAGCGTCCACGTGGCGGCCCCGCATTCATTTCGGCACCCATCTCACGCGTTTCGTGGACGCTCCGTCGAAGGCCCCAGTGGCAGCGTTCGCATGGCAGTTCGGCACGCCCTTTACACGCTTCCTGGCCCCATAAGGAGATCCACCGAAGGCGATACCTACAACGGCAATATTCACAACTGCACATAGTTGGGCCCTTCGCCAGGATACTTTCCTATTTCCCCCAACCATGATTTTCTCGACCACTGTGTATTGCGACTGAGACTACGACTACGATGCGACTACGATGCGACGAATTCTACGACTATCAGTAATATTAGTATCATGAGATTACTACTACTATTACTATTCATATTTCTAAGTTTACTACTACTGATGCGACGACGGCTACTACTACAACAACAACAACTACTACTACTACTACTACTGCAATGTCTTGCCACTACTACTATCACTATTACTATTACTACTGGTCATTCTCCTACTCCTGCTCTTACAGATTTGACGGCCACTCCTCTACTACTATTGCTGCTACCACCACTACTACTGTTACTGCTACTACTACTACTACTACTACTACTACTACTGCTACTACTACTACACATACAACTACTACGCATACTACTACTACTACTACTACTACTACTACTAGTGCTACTACTACTACTACTACTACTACTACTACTACTACTACCACTATTTTTATTACTACTACTACGACGACGACGACGACTACTACTACTACTACGGCTACTACTACTACTACTACTTTCCTCCTACAGCTACTAGTATCACTACTACTGCTACTGCTATTAATACTAGACCGTATACGGAAACTACCACTACTACTGTTACTGATACTACGATGGCCACTGCTACTTCAACGACACCAACTACAACTACAGCTGCTACTACTACTATTGCTACTACTGCTACGGCTCCGGCAATTACGATTACTGCTACTACTATTACTTTTACTACCATTAGTGCTACTACGACAACAACAATTGCTACTACTATTGCAACTACTACGACTGCTACTACTACTACTACTACTACTACTAGTACTACTACTACTACTACTACTACTACTACGACTAGCAGTACTACCACTAATACCGCTTCAACTACGACTACTACTAACCCTACTACTACTACTACTACTCCTACTACTACTACTACTACTAAAACTACTACTAAAAGTAGTAGTAGTAGTAGTAGTAGTAGTAGTAGTAGTAGTAGTCGGCGCACTACCGTTATTACTGTTGCTACTACTTTGTACTGTTATAACTATTACGGCGGCTATTATTAATTACTACTACTACTTCTACTAGTAGCAGTAGTATTAGTAGTAGTAGTCGTACTGCTACTACTACTAATAATACCACTACTACTTTTACTACTACTACTACTGCTACTACTACTACTACTACTACTACTACTACTACCGCTGCCACTACTAGTATTATTAGTACCACCGCTACGACTACAATCATGATTACACTTGCTACACAGGTGGTGCTATAGTTTTGACCGTAACATGTCATCCGCCGAGACCCCCGCCCCGCGTAGAATCTTCGCGAAAGGTTTCTGGTCCGGCTGCGATTCCGGGCCCAGGGGCTTGCACCTTGGAGTAATCATAGATGAATTCATATATATATATATATATATACGTATATATATATATATATATATATATATATATTTAACAGGGTGATGATCATTTCCGCTCCACAAAGCATGGGATGGGAAATTATTTCCTTCTGGCCCGACTTAAACCCTGTTCACTCCGTGTGATCGTCATAGTCAGCTTCTTCATCATCTGCGTAATCGTCGTCGTCATGCCCGCT